CAGACTAACACAGCAAAGAAGTCAAAAATCCTCACAACCAGACCAATAAGTAACATCATGGTAAAAGGAGGAAAGATTGAAGTTGTCAAGGATTTCATCTTGCTTGGATCCATAAGCAATGTTCATGGAAGCAGCAGTCAAGAGATCAACTGGTGCAGTGCAATGGGTTATTTTCTGCTGCAAATACCTCTTTAAAGTGTTGAAAATCAAGGATGTTATTTGAAGACTAAAGTACACCTGATATAAGCCATGGTGTTTTCAATCACCTCATCTGCATGTAAAATTTAGGCATTGTATAAGACAGACTGAAGAAGAATCAATGCATCTGAATCTTGGTGCTGGTGAAAAATATTGAAATACTATGGACTGCCGAAAGAACAGATCTTTCTTGGAAGAAGTACAGCCAGAATGCTCCATTTAGGCAAGGATGATGAGACTTTGCCTCATGTACTTTGGACATATTATCAGGAAAGACCCATCCCTGAAGAAGGACATCATGCTTGTGGAGTGGAGGGCCCCTCGACAAGATGGACCCCTTGCCACAGTGGCTGCAACAGTGGGCTCAAACATAAGAATAATTGTGAGGATGGAGCAGGACCGGTCATGCGTCCTTCTGTTGTATGTAGGGTTGCTATGAGAATCAACTTGATGTAACTAACAACAACAATAACACATCATTGTACAACTGCCAAGTTCCTTGAGCCCGTAACTGCCAAATTTTATCTCTACATAATTGTCAATCTACCAAGAGTCTTGGCCAAGCTATGTTGATACATAACCATCACAACTGTGTTTATTTTACCTCTCAACTTGGCATTCATTACTGTCAGACATACATCTTGAGTGCAATATCGTCAGATATTTTTTACTGTAGTCATAAATGTGAATGTCAGTTAACAAGAGAGGATAAGTGATGAGTAGGTAGACTATAAACTGTAATTCAAGAGCCTTCGTTAAGTACTCAAACATAAACAACATAGTAAAAGAAGGAAACGGGAACTGGATGGTACTGAGTCCAGGTAGGAGAAACCTAATTAAATGGGAGGCTATGTAGTTAACAGGAAGGTGGAAAATTTCATAGCCGAGCTTGTCCTTCTGCAGACCGGCTCATGGAGCTCTTAGAGGTTTTTAGCTTATCCTGTGGAAAAATTTTTTTCCCTCTAGTCACCAAATGGAAAGATTTAAGAATGAGGTAAAATTTAATGACTCAAATATATAAATGAAGTGGGATTGACTAAATGGTTTAAATTAGCATTATAAACAAAACAATAGTTTTACTTTTTATTTTTTAAATAAATGTTATCATACGTTGAATTTCCTCAATCTTCCTTTTCTTTGCATGAACACTATGGTGGGCATTTGTTTGAAGGTACAGGTTAAAAAAAAGAAGTCCAACACATTGTGTCCTTTGTCATATGCTGTCTTCTGTGTACTTGACAATTACCACCTGAAGTGTATCCTTTAAAATTTAGCTATCACTTTGTACAAACAGTTGCATAAATGGAAGTACAATGAATCTGTGTTTACTTCCAAGGAGTATATGACAACAGGAAAATGCATTTTGAATATTTTATTTTATATTTTAACAGAACTCTTGGTCATTATAAATTATTAAAGTTTAATACCATTGTATCCTTTTTTATCTTGTGGTTTCCAAATAATAAATATCCAATGAGTTTTTGAAAGAGGATTAACAATTGCTAGTGTCTAAAGCAGGGGTAGGTCCCTTTGAATGACATCTAGAAATATGATGTTTATGACTCCTTTCACTTCTTCTTGTACTTCATAATTTTCTTTTTCTTCCCTGTTTGCTTTATTTTTAATGTATCTTTCTTTTTCCTTTTCCCTTGGAGCTTCCAGTGGATTTGAACTGCTGACTCCTTGATTATAAGCCCACCTCATAACCCACTACACTACCAGAGTTCCTTCCTCAGAAGTGGGACTATTGTAATATTTCTGTATTGGTTATTTCAAGTGGAGTATTGATTTTATTCTAACTAACACACTAAGTTTGCTAACATACTAACAAAATTACTCTGTTTAGTGTATTACATTTTAAATTAGCAAGTACAATCTACAAAAACATTTTCAATAAAAGTGTTTTCAGAGATTTGTACTGCTTAAGTGGCCAAAATAAATTTATTAATATGTCTTTTTTTAAGATTAAGGAAGTAGAGAGTACATTAGCATTCAGTTGTGTGGATATTTTCTCTTGCTTATACATTTGTCCTTTTATTGTGATTCCAGATTCAACTACTATATTTAGTTACTTGTACTGCTTGAATGTCTGGATCTCTCCAATTTACTCTGAATGGATTTAGCCATTCTAGGATGGCCATGCAAACTTTTTGACCTTATAGATGGGAATCCAAAAGCCTGGTCTTGTTTCACAGACAGTAAGTTTTCCTTTTCAGTTTTGTCAGTAACAGCTAGGGATAAATGAGAGACTTGAGGGACTCTACCAGAAATAGAATTTTCATCTTTAGTGTCTACAAACTGCTCTTTCTGTTTGGCGAGTATTGTAGCTTCAGATACAATGGAAGGAATCTCTGTACTACGAGAACGTGTAATCTTTTGAAATTGATATTTCCATTCTGTCCTCCATTGTTGTACTGTAGAGGGGGCTGCTTGGTCCAATCCTGAACTGTATTTTGCACTGCAGTTATTAACCCCTCTGACCAGTGTTCTTCCATGAGCATATACAAAGCTTCTGGATTTCCTTGACTTATACGTATTGAAAGCTTCATCAGGGTAATAGCGGGTAAGTTTTGCTTCTCCCAAGGGATAAGAAACAATGCGTTCTACCTCGGTCATTTCTATTGTTAGCTGAGTGTTTTGAAAATCTGATTTGTTCTGTCCATGCATAATATCTGCTTTATTTAATTTGGGGGAAACAATGTTTTCTCTTCCAGAGTCTATGTGCTTTCCATTATTGGTTGAAATCCCAATAGCTGGACCTAATTGTAGTTCTGATGTGTTCTTTACATTGTCTGATGTAAGTTTACTGCCATCTGATATTGCTGTTGGGTTTGTGTTATATGTAAAGTGAAAGTTGTCCTGATGATCAGGCACGACATGCATTTTTGCATCTTTCTCTTCCTTTGTACAGTAAAAACAGGCTTTCCCCCTTGATCTCATCACTGGTGACACGGATAGAGAAGCATCTTCATGCAATAACTCTTCTCCATTAAAATGGTATCTGTACATGTTGTAGCTATCCGCACTATTACTGCTGTTTTGCCGTAGAAGGTAAGTTGCCTCACATTCAGAAGAAGCTCGAGATCGTGTCTGTATGAGGTCAGCTTTGTCAATTCCTGCAAGATTTTCAAGAGCATTCACCATTCTACTAGACAAGTCTTCTAATTGAGAAAGTCTAAGGTCAACACTCTGTAAAGAAGCTTTCATAAAATTTTCTCTTTCATTGACTTCTTCCAGCCTCATTGACATATTTTCTACTCTGGTAAATAAAAAGGGATAGATTTGTTAAAATCAGGTTAACAACATATTAAAAGTAAAAAGGCAATGCTGTTGCTATATGAATTTTCAGTGTCTTAAGACCCATGAACCTTGAGAAAATTTTCAAAATTTATGTATTTCTAATATGACTAATGTCATCATATAATATACTGAGGGATAGGAGAGAATAATAGAAGTAATGTTCAATATGTACCATGCTTACTGTTTACCAGCCATTGTTCTAAGTACCTTATATGTTCCTTATCAAGTATTTATTGAGATAGTGTTCTTACTGAATCCTCACAACAGGCCTAGGAGATAGATACTATTGTTACCAGCCCCATTTTATAGATGACAACATTAAATTCAAGGAGAGTATAAGGAATTTGCCCAAGGTCACAGAGGAGTGGAGTTGAGATGTAAATGCACATAGTCTAGCTCCAGCATTTGTTTCAGCTTTTGTCTCTTAGCTATAGCTAATAAAAAAAGGATGGCTGCAACAAGAAATAGTTATGATGACAAATTAAAAAAATTAAAATCCTTCTTGGAAGTTCAGGGGATTTAGAAAATGAATTGTTAATACACTAACCCCATTATCTCCTACACTTTGTAGTGAACAAAAGTATTAGATGCATATGCATAAAAAAGGAAATAGTCATACAATTACAACCTTTGTTTCTATAGTTGGTCATGTTGTCATAGCTACGGTACCTTCTTCAACTACACATTCCACACACTTTTTTGAGAGTACGTCACCTCCACATGGTTCTTTGGGTGGTGGGGTGACCCAAATCTTCCTTTCTGAGGAGTCTGGGCCATTAGTAGTCCTGTTAGAATTGGGTTTCTGTAGTTTGCAATTGACTTTAAAAACACGATATGGTCATACTGAGACAACTTAAGGAATCTCCTGGATTCCAGACATAATCTTCTTTACCTCCATTATGCAATACTAAATCAATTCCCCCTTGGTAGTCAATATCAATCACATCACTCAGTTTAGTAACACATTTCTTTGCCTGTGGTTCCAAAGGCACACTCATTAACTTTCATTTCAATGGAGTTCAGTCCTGTGTCTCCAGGTGGGAGTATTCCATTCTTTGGAACTAAGGATTCCAGATCTGCAAATAATATTGCAGGGACAGGAAGCAAAAATGTTACTATGGGTCATTATGAGTAATAGGAAGTGCTGCCACACCTATTTCTACACATTAATTTCTGGATCTGTATATCCTGGCTATTGGAGAAATATATCGGGTGGCATATATTGGGTGCTGGTTTAGAGCACATACAGCCTCCTAGAGAACATCGCCTCAACTCTAAAAGGTCTTGCTACCTAGCGGGTGCCATAATTGTATCTTTAGAAGCCCGTTCCATTGTGCTACCAAGCTAGCTGCATCCTGGTAAGACCAGTGGATTCCACAAGCTTGGGTCAATTGCCACACTTCATTTGCTGTGCAATGAGTCCCTTGATCTAAAGCAATGTTGTGTTTTATACTGTGTCAGTGTATGAAACATTCTGAAAGTCCATGATTGGTAGTTTTGGAAGAGACACTGTATGCAGGGAACACAAATCTGTATCCAAAGTAAGTGTCTATAACAAAACCTTGCTCGGTCCATGATGGAAATGGTCCTATGTACCTGAGGAATGGCCCCATGAACAAACTCAGTATTGGTCTCTGTTGCTGGAAGATTGGACACTCAACAATGAGTAGTCAAGTCAGGCTTGGTGAGTAGAAGGCCATGTTGTTGAGTTCCTGCATAACCTTCATTCCTGCCACCATGGCCATTGTTTATGGAACACTTAGTGCTCATTGAACAATGACAGGAGTGGCTGGCGAAAGTGAATGCCTAGTTTCCACAAAACGTGTCACCCTATCCACTTAATTATTAAAAATCCTCTTTGGTAAAGGTAATCTTTTGATGAGGAGACACTAATATTTTCACCCAGTCAGAAGATCTATCCACTTACCTCTTTCCTACACTTCCTTGTCACCAGTTTTCCAATCATGCTCCTTCCAAGTCCCTGATCATCCAGCCAAACATTGACCCCAGCCCATGAATCAATATACAGTTGTACATTTGGGCTCCTACCAAGCAAACTTAACGACCAGGTGTAACACTTGAAGTTCTGCCTATTGGGAGGATTTCTCCTCACCACTGTCTTTCAGTGAAGTCCAAGAAAAGGGCAGTCGCTCTGTTGCTGTCCATGTTCTAATGGGATCTGCATATCATGCAGTACTATCAGTAAACCAAGTACACGTGTTTTCTTCCTTAGTCAACTGATCATCAGGAACTTCCCATAATGCAGACTGGGAGAAAGATTGTATTGTGACAGAAGTGGAGACCATGGGTATTTGGGCCACTGATTCATGCAAATTACTTGTACCATCAGGTCCTGCTCTATCTCGCCCACTCTTGTATGTATCACTTCCATTTAATTACCAAGCACTGTTTTGCACGTCCAGCATTATGACTCTATGGGTCAGATGACACTCAATTCATGATGGGTAGCTCAATGACTTGCTGGGTCATGGTAAGGCATCGCTCTCTGCTAAGGCCTAGTAGGAGGCCAAAAGTTGTTATTCAAAAGGGGAGTAGTTATTTATAGATGATGGCAGAGCTTTACTCCCAAATCCCAAGGACCTGCACTACGATTCACCAATAGGGGTCTGCAAATACTCCAAATTACATCTCTTATCTGTCAGTGATACATCAAGCACAATTGGATCAGATTGATCATTTGGCCCAAGTAGCAGAGCAGCTTGCATGACAGCCTGAATCTGTCAGAGCCTTTTCTCGTTTCCGTCCCCACTCAAAGCTGGCAGCTTTTTGAGTCACTTGATAAATATACTGGGGTAGCACACCTAATGAAGGATAAGTTGCCTCCAAAATTTTAATAGGCCAACCAGGTGTTGTACCTGCTTTTTAATTATAGGACAGGTCAAATTCAATAACGTACCCTTCAGTTTAGTGGCCTATCTAAACATGCCTCACTACATTTTTGTTGGGTTAAGTTTACAATAATCAATTTCCATTCTCTAAGGTCCATCTGAGTTTTGCACAGGCCAAATAAGTTAGCTACATGAGGATGTGGTGGGACTCACCATCCCTGCTCCTTCTAGTTCTTGATGTTGGCACTAATCTCTGCAAGTCCTTCGGGAATGCAGTATTACATTTGGCTTACTATTTTCCTAGAAGAGGCAGTTCGAGTGACTTACATTTGGTTTTTCTTATTATAATACCCCTTATTCTGCCTGGGGTTCTGCCAGTTTCTGAATATGCCTTCTCCAATTCTGTATTCTAGAATTGGGGAAATCACTATAGGATGGGCTTGGGGACCCACTGGACCTACTGTGAGATGAACCTGAGCTAGGACTCCATTAATAACTTGACCTACATACACCCCTACTCTGGTGGACCTTCAAAAGGTTTGGGGTCTCCCGGAATTAGTGTCAATTCAGAGCCAATGTTTAGTAATCACTGAAAAGTCTGATTTTTCCTTTTCTCCTATGAACAGTTGCTCTTATGCAAGGCTGCAGGGCCCTTTAGGGAAGGCTAGGAGGAAGACAAACAGTATAAACCTTTGGTGGTGTAGTGGAGCCCTTGCTCAAAGGGACATGGCCTTATGTTAATTCAGCGGGCTGTGGGTGTGTAAACTGAATCAAGACTGGAAATTGATTGAGGAATCATGAATGCTCTCTTCTCATAAAGGTTACCAAAACATAACCATTGTTGTTGGGTTGATTCCGTCTCATAGTGACCTATAGGTGGTTCTCAACCTTCCTAATGCCGCGACCCTTTAATGCAGTTCCTCATGTTGTAGTGCCCCCCCACCCCAACCATAAAATTATTTTCACTGCTACTTCATAACTGTAATCTTGCTACTGATATGAATTGGGCAACTCCTGTGAAAGGGCTGTTCCATCCCCAAAGGGGTCATGACCCATAGGCTGAGAACTGCAGCACAGGATAAGATAGAACTGACCTATGTGTTTTCCAAGGCTGTAAATCTTTTTGGAAACAGATTGTCCCATCTTCCTACCTTGGAGAAACTAGTGCCTGATCTTCTGCTAACAATTGAGCAATTAACCACTGAGTCCAGGGGCCTCTTGGGGAAGTCTAGCATGTACTGTCACTATGAGTCAGAACTGACTCAACAGCACGCAATAACAGCATCATGTTCAAACTTACGTAACCTACGTAACAGATATACCAAAACAGAGATAGAGGCAACTGGAGATCTGCAAGAAGACTTAGTTCACTTTCTGATCTGGTGGTTCTAGTTAGATTGCTGGTCACTATGAGTCAGAATCAACTCAACAGCATTGGTTTGGTTTTGGTAACCTTTATGAGCATAGATCACCAAGTCTTTTCTCCTGTGGAGCAACTAGGTTCAAACCGCCAACCTTTTGGTTAATAGCTGAGCATTAAACCCTAAAGTAGTTTAACTGAAGACAAATAATGTTTCATAATTCAGTTATATATTGTTAGGTTCCACAACACTAGAGGACTTCAAAGAGTTTAGGCACAAATTCTATTATAATTCAATTTTTCATGAACTTTTTGAAGCCCCATTATATGTCTACCACCTGTATGCCAGTGTATTGTATTGATGTGGCTTGCATATGTCTACCACCTTGCTTTCATGGAGAAGATTTAAATTCAGTCTTGGAGTGTTAATATGACTAGTCAAACTATTATTGCATCTCTTTCTGCCTGATGTGTGCATCAGTTTCAGAGCTGACTCTTAAAGTCAGGTAAAGAACATCATTGACTAGTCATATTAACACTCCAAGATTGTATTTAAACCTTCTCCATGAAAGCAATCTAGACTTTTATCACTTCATAAAATTGAGACATTCCCCAAAATACTTCATCACTGCATGCTTGTCTTTCTATGATCTTCTCTACATCAGAGGAGTTACCAGCCTCCTTTCTAAGACGGATCACTCTTTCAGTTTCCCTTAGAGTTATTGTCTTAGTTATCTTCTTCTTGTTGGA